TTTGTTGAAATGTTTAAATCTTTTCCTCAGCACCACTATTTCATCTACTAATTTTTAGTTAAAACAAACTTAAGCAACTTTTTGTTGCGTTTTTCACGCTATCAGAGATGAAAAAGATTCAGATGACTTTTTTTGCGAAAAATAGTCATCAAATCCTCCACAGCGGAGGGGCTAGATGGAAAGTTGGGTTTCATTGGATATTTATTGCAAAATCTGTGTTACTGCACAATCGAAGTGAGTGATAGTGAGCAGATAAATACTTTAACCTTGCAGTAGGTAATATGATACAAAATGCATGAGCAAACTTGTTATACTCTCAAACACTTCCACATTTTCTAAAATCGAACTTTATCGTCTTGAGGATTCAGTGAAATAAATTTGTACACAATAAGAGAATTTACAATTTCTTTCACCTCAAAACTTAACTAATCTCGACCTCTTAATGTGGTTCTAGAAAGCGTTAAAGGTAATTTCTAATTAGAGGTTGGATTCATAAATTGTCCACGTTTACAATACAAACATTGTTTTTATGACCTTTCTGGTTTTCTGCAGATGTGTTGCTAAGAATGTGCTAGGAACGGCTGAATCCATATGCTTTGGCAGTGTTATCCCTCGCAAATTTGGACAGCCGAAGAAGTTTGACAGGTTGAAAGCACCGAAATTCCACATGCCATTAGCAAATCCGCGGCAGGTATGTATGATACTGTACTGTAATGAACTTTTGGTGTCAATGCAATTTGTTTCGAGTTAAGATACCCGAAGGCGCCGAATTGGTCCTGACTTGTGTAGTTACTGGCATTCCTGAACCGGCTGTCACGTGGTACAAAGATGGAGAGAGGTAGGCTATTGCTTCTCATTTTCTTCAACAAAAAAAACCAGGCTCGCAGGTATTATATAGACGATCTCATATCAAACTTCTGCTTGCGAGAATAAACAGTATCGCAGTAATTTAAGACTGACAATTCAACCTTCTAAATGTCGTAGAAGTCAGCAACAAAAACTGATTTCTATGAATAGAGTTTAACATCATGGTCCTTCTTTTGATCGTTTTGAATAAATCCAATTCACTCACTTCTTTCACTCAATGAGTTAGAGGGGATATGGTGAATCTTATCTTTGGCGGTTTGTGCAATATCAAAATAAAAAGAACAATGACGATAACACATGAGATAAAGTTCAAAAGTTGCTCTATTACCGAATCGAAGTGTAAGACCGTCTCTGTGTAGGACCGCGCGCTCACTATATATAAGAACTTTGTCTGACTTGCGCCAGCTTCTTTCCCCTTTTAAAATCTTCAGAAAAATATCCACTTGATAATCTAAAACAACTAGCACACCAACCTCGCACAATAAATCGCGTTTTCAACAAAAGTGCTAATCCAGAATTTGCTCTTGTCTCCATATACACCACCAGGAAATGCTCTCTTGAGCTGACACTCATTTTAAGGACGCAAGCTCCGCGCCTTGAAGCCCAAACCGTCAAGGCTGTGGTTAAGTTAGCCAGTTCACTACCCCAACAAAATAATTATTCTATAGCGGCTTTATTCATCACCTTATCTTGTGCAGTACGCGCGACCTCATATGCAAGCCGTTATCCGCTGGTAAACACATGCTTATGAAGGAATAGCAAAATTTCTGTAGTGGCTATAGGTGATATTAACTGATTAATCTGATATAATTTATAGCAATTCTACACTTGTCTAAATGTAGGAAAAAATGAACGCCGTAGGAGTAAATCCAGAACATGAATACAACTGAGAGATGCTTCTGCTTATAAAAAAGAATGGTAATTTGTGGAAATTCCAATTTTAGGCGGGCATAACAAAAAACTTGAGAAAGGCTTTGGAGATGTCTTGAGCAGTTTTGCTCATTTATGCACATGATTATATATTACACATTTGATTCCTCTCATTATTAGTATGAAATCGACATTGATTTTTAATAACAGTATAGTAAAAGTTGGCTGTACCTCATGTACGGGCTTTTTAGCGG